GTTGCTACAAGATCTTGGCCAAGGCCCTGGCTGAAAGACTTAAGAAAGTTCTTGACTCAGTAATTTCAAAAAACCAGTTTGCTTTTGTGCCCAACAGGCAAATGCTAGATAGTATTTTGGTAGCTAATGAACTGATAGACTCAAGGAAGAGGGAGGGCAGGCCGGGGTTGCTTTGTAAGCTAGACTTGGAGAAAGCCTACGACCATGTGAACTGGAAGGTGTTGGACTTTGTCTTGGAGAGCATGAGCTTTGGTCAGAAATGGAGAAATTGGACGAAGGTATGCACTACTTCTCCAAAATTTTCAGTTTTAGTGAATGGTCAATCAACAGGTTTCTTCAAAAGTTCCAAGGCCTTAGACAAGGGGATCCCCTTTCACCACTTTTGTTCATCTGTGTGATGGAAATATTAATTATGTTTGCAAACAAAGTGGGTGAATTGGGCTTGTGGAAAGGTTTTTTGAAGCTTGTCCAGGGGGGGGGGTGAGAAAGTCCAGTTGCTCCAGTTTGCAGATGACACACTTTGCTTCATTGATGCTGAATTAGATCAACTTGGAATTTTCCTAGGGGTTTTAAGCTGGTTTGAAGTGGTAACAGGGCTAAAAGTAAATTGGTCTAAGAGTAGACTAATTCCAGTGGGCAGGATTGAGGTTCTTGATTCTCTAGCTGAGGTCCTGGCCTGTCAGATTGGTTTTTTGCCTACTATATACCTTGGCTTGCCTCTAGGAGCCAAGTGTACTTCTTCTTTGATTTGGGATCTGGTGGTTGAAAGGCTGGAAAGAAAACTAGCTTCTTGGAAATCCAAATATTTAACTTTGGGAGGCAGGATCACTCTCCTCAAAAGCTCCCCCTCAAACCTGGCCTCTTATTTTCTCTCTCTTCCCTATTCCATTAAAAGTAGCCCATAGGCTGGAAAAAATCCAGAGAGATTTCCTATGGAAGGGTTGGGATGAGGAAAAAAGAATAAACCTGGTCAATTGGGACCAAATTTGTTTCCCCAAAGGAAAAGGGGGTCTGGGGATTAGAAAACTGAAGATATTTAATGAAGCGCTCCTTGGAAAATGGATCTGGAGGTTTGGACAGAGAGAGAGAGTTGGTGGAGGAGGCTGATAGCAGCTAAATATGATACAGACAGAGGTGACTCCCTAGGGTGTTCTTTGTGGAAGAAGATCATGGATTTGTATCCACTGCTGAATAGGGGTCTGGTTCAGAAGGTGGGAAACGGTCAGCATTTAAATTTCTGGAAAGATATTTGGTGTGCAGAAAGGCCTTTGGCGCAGTTGTTTCCTCAGTTATTTTGCTTGGCTTATAATCAAGATGCTTTGGTGGCTGAGTGCTATGAAGTTTCAAACAATTCCATCATTTGGAGCCCCTCATTTAGAAGAAACTTTCAGGATTGGGAAATTAATCAAGTAAGGGAGTTATTTGAGCTGCTATCAAATCAGATCATAAACCTGTTGGAAGATGATAGATGGAGCTGGATCTGGAGTGCAGACGGTTTCTTTCCTGTGAGGTCCTTTGCCAAAGTTTTGGAAGGAGATAACAGACCTGTTTTTCCAGCTGCTATTGTTTGGAATGCGACAGCTCCTAGCAAAGTACATGCCCTTGTTTGGGCTGCTGTCCTGGATTGGTGCCTCACCAAGAAAGACCTGCTGAGGAGAGGAGTGCAAATTCAAGACTTGAATTGTGTGTTATGTGGTCAACAGGAAGAGGATAACAATCACTTGTTCCTCCATTGTTCTGTTTCAATTTCTTTATGGAATCACCATCTTTCCTTGGTAGGAGTGCCCTGGGTCATGCCAAAGTCTGTGCTGGGTCTGATGTGGTGCTGGGACTGTTTAAGACTTTCCAAGTTGGCCAAAAGTGTTTGGAGATCAATTCCTGCAGCAGTGATTAGTACCATCTGGGAGGAGAGAAACAACAGTGTTCCAGGACAAGGCCAAAGGAATAGACAGCCTCATCTCTAATTCCTTTGGAAAAGTGGTTTCCTGGATTGCTTCTGTAAATGGTTTCCAAAACAGGGAGATTGGAACCCAGCTGAACTCTGGAAATCTCCTTGAGCTGTAATGTAATCTGGTTCTTGGGCCTGCCTTCTTTCCGGGGGCCTATTGTATCCTTCTCTATATTAATAAAATTACCTTACCTTTTTCAAAAAAAAAAAAAAACTTTGTTATTGTATATCATGAACAAAATGAATTGAAACTAACTTGTTTGAAACTTGAACTAATGACTCTTTTATAAAAACACAAAATTCAAACCAGTTTTACTTTAACAATATAAATAAGTATATGTAAACATATAGATTTAAATTGGATTGACTTGGATAGGGGTGGATCCATATTTGATTCAATTGTAAAATGATCAAATTTGGGTCGCCCTTGCAAGGTGCCAACCAGCTGGTTGGTAAGGTCTCCTGTTGGTCGTAGCGGAGACTTGGGATCAAATCCCGCCTGCACCTGGTTGGGTGGGGGTGGGGGGTGTTATGGGTTGGGGGATGGGCTACCCCTGTTGTGTAACCCTTCAAAAGAAATAAAAAATTTGGATCGCCCTTAACTGGATTTAATTCGACTTCGGACAAATGGATACCTTTTGCAGCTGGATCAAAGAGGATAAATTTGAAAGACCCAAAACATGGTGGTTATAGAACCTTATTGTTATGTCCTGTTTGGTAAGTTCTACGCAACTTCATACTAGTAGAAATTATTTATGGATGAAAACGTCTAAAAAGATATAGAATGGTGTTTTTGAGACATACTTAGAGCCAGTGGTGATGTGTTTAGCAAAGCTTCCCTTTTAGTAAAAAGGGTGATTCCATCTGGTGATGTGTCTTCTTGGCTGTCTTTCCATGTGACCAAGGTTGAAGAACTCCAGTAGTTTTCATGACAGGAGCTAATTCAACTTAGGTGATGATTGATTTGATTGCCACTTAGTGTGTGGTATGCTGAGTGTCCATAAAGGATATTTTGATGTAGCCCTGTATATTGAATTATGAGGGGCAGGTTCTAGATCACCAAAATTTCCCCCTCTCAAATGGTTTTGGGCTTCTCCCAGGTGAACCATATCAAGCCTAACTTTTGCAGTTACCCACTGGGCTACTCAGGACAGTTGGGGATTGGTATTGTCTAGGGAGATAGTTCAGGAAAAATGTTCTCTTGCTTCTCTCGTCCACCTGAAGAGGGAGATTCTGGGGATGATACTGTTAGATAATCTTGGCTACAGGACTATCAATGTAGAGGACGACTGAGGATTGTGTTGCTCCTCAGTATGTAGGCTGGATGCCTCATTTTCTTCTGCAAATGTTATTGCTGATGATCTCATGAAATAAGGGATCTCTAGACCTAGTTAGTTTGGGGATCTTTGTCATGCCATTATGTGTTTTTTGTTTTGCTTGGGGTTGTATTTGTTGTTTTCTTGTGTTTTAGTTGTCTTTGTTTTTTCAATTGGTAACTGAAACTTTATTGTTTTATTAGAAAGAAAGAAAATATGTACAAAGTATTTCCATTATAGTGCCTTACATTTGGATCAGACCCTACTACTCAACCATTTAGTTAGTGGTTTTTGTGGATCGGGGTGTTTTCTTGTTATTGATAAAATATTTTCTACCAGTTTTGAGAAAAAAATCTGCTATAAAAAATGATGACTTTTTTGACCAGCAACACAGAAATGATTTCATTAATAATATAAAGAAGAATTACAACAAGAGGTTGTGGAAAAAATAAAAAAAAAATACAGGTTCAGAAAAGCTGACCCAACCTAAGAATTACAAGTGAGCCCAATACAAATAAGTTTTTTTGTACCCCTTGCTTAGCTAGACCGTCTGCCAGACTGTTGGCAGTTCTCATAACCCATTTAACTTGGACTGTCATATTTCTTGATAGCCATTTAAATTGTCTGAATTCATTTCTTAGATGCCATGTCACCCCTCCCCATCTTCAGCCAGTTCACAACAGTTCTTGAATCACTCTCAATGATCAGTCTATTAATACCCAAATCTTTATCCTTCTCAACCCCATATGCTGCAGCCAATAGCTCTGATCTAATCACATCACCTTGTTCAGCTGGTCCCGAGTATAAGGCTATGGTGTTTCCTTCCTCGTCCCTAATGACCTCTCCTATGCCTGAGGGGCTCGGATTGCCCACACAACTCCCATAAAAAATAAAGAATTATTGTCTTCCTATATAAAACTATAACATCAAGATAGAGAAACAGTCTTCAATGGGAAGATGATCATCTACATTGTGGAATTTCCAGAACACAAGTATAAGACAAGTAATGGATACCAGTGTTTTAAAAGGCGTGGGAGGCGTACGCCTGGAGGCGCGCCTCTAGGCGAGGCGCTCCCAAAACGTCCTGAGGCGTATGCCAGAGGCGCTGACACTTCTAAGGCATACGCCTCTTGCGCTTTTTTCATGAGGTGTGCTAGAGGCGTACACCTCATGCGCCTCATGCACATCTGATATAAAAAGACAAAAAAAAAAAGAAAAAAGAAAAAAGAAAAAAAAAGGAAAGGAAAGGAAAGGGAAGGGAAGAAAAGATAAGGGGAAAGAAAAAATGAGATCCCCCCTTCCTCTTCATCCTCCTCCTAACCCCCCTCCTCTTAAGGAGGCTTGTGTTCGGGAGGCTTACGCCTCTTGCGTTCTGAACTATGCCTCACGCCTCTAGGTAGTGGAACGCCTCGCGTCACACCTCCGCGTTTTAAAACATTGATGGATACTATTTAATTGGAATTGCATCTTCTTCTATAGAACATGCACCGTTTTTCTGCCAACAAGACATTTCTTTTTTTCTGAAATTTCTTTGATGTCTTTCATTCTTTGTGTCAAGTTGATGTACTTGAAGAAAATCCACAGTTTTTTTTTTTTTTTGTAAATTTTTAGATTAATGTCGAGAATTGCATGGAGATTGTTGCATATTATTTATTTTCTTATTATTTCCTTTAAAAGATACATGAAATTCAGTGCCAGTTGGAGTTTATTTCAACAATTGCTTGTGTAATTCTCAGTTGACTTCTATGGGAAAGGAAGAAATGTGCACGAAAAATTGCCTGTTAAAACTGATCAGGACACTCTCAGAGAGGGCTACAGGTTTGATTATGTTATCAGTTTAATTAATTGCTCATTTATTGGGTGCCTTGCAGATTCTTCATTTTGAAACATTTTTTCAAAGAACTGATTACTGGAAAACTGGCATTTTAAATTGATTTTTTTTGGTAATAAATAAAAAAGAAAGATTATTAAGAAATAAGAAAGAAGAGTACAAGAGAGGTGATGAGATATCACCTACATGCAAAAGAAAAGAAAAAACCTCAAAACCATCTTTTCTTTTCTAAAACAAGCTTTCCAAATCCCCAACAAAGAATGAAACACCCCAAATAGAACACACAAATAACCTTTGAAGACAACATACTTAAAAGTCAGCCCTCCAAGTTATACTAAATAACCTACACAAACCAACAACACGACTATCAACCTCTCAACAGATTACCCGTTTATTCAGCTTTTCTGGAGTCTTGAACACAAGCCTCTTTGCTTCTCTGACTTTTTGTTTCACTATCTTAATGGGCCTGGTCCCAAATAATCCCACTTTCAATCTGGCAAAAACTTTTGACCATGGTTCAAAGTATCAATACGCCCCTGTGTATTGGCAGAGGCATATTGGTACTAAAAACCATCCGCGTTTATTTTTTTAGTTTTTTTTTTCAAAAATTGGTTTTTGGGGATGTTAAGTATATTTTTTATTAAAAAAAGAGGGGTCCCGAAATTACGATCCTTGCTTTTGACACCTTAACAGTTCAGTGGTTTATCTGACTTATTATTATTTTTTATCAGAAACGATAACTTTCATTAGAGATAAGTTAAACTGAAATACAGAATTCAACCCTTATCAGAAAAGGTTGATCCAATAAACATCAAATATTACAGCACTGCTCAATAAAGATTCTCCCTTACAGTCCCTTGTTTTGCTAGGGCATCAGCAAAACCATTTGCTGATCTCCTTACCCACTTGAACCAAACACCCACCTCCCTTGTTATGCTAAGAATTTCCCTTATCAGCTGTCCATATTGCCAAATTCCCAGCTGCCCTGATTGCATCCACACCCAATTACCAACTTGGAGTCTCCTTCTATCTCAATCTGTTGTAGCCCCAATTGTTTGGCCAGTTTTACACCTTGATGTAGTGCCAAGATTTCCACTCTTAAGGAATCTCCAACTCCTATTGGACCTGAAAACAAAGCCATTATCTTGCCTTCGTTATCTCTGAAAACACTTCCTATACCAGATGGGCCTGGATTACCTATAGAGCTTCCATCAAAGTTCAATTTGACCCTTTGTTGTGCTGGTGGGGACCAAACTTCCTGTATCATAGCTTTGGAAGTAGTAGTAGTTGCCACAATACCCCAACTTCTATAAATGTCTTCAACTGAGAAATCCTTAAAAAGATCACAGGATTTCAACCGATGGATAACCTTAGTAGTTATTCCTTCCACAACCTCTTCCTTGGATCTACAACTGCCTTTGAAGATCCTATTGTTTCTTTCCTCCCACATTGACCACAATACAACAGCTCTAGTGGCTCTCCACATAATCCTTCCACGAACCGTTGGTTGCCTGTAAAAAGCTGGATCAAAGAGGTTCACCACGCTTGAGGAGGGAGTCCACCTGCAGCCAAAGAGAGAAGAGAACCAAGAACAAATAAAGAACACAAAGGAACATGAGATTAGTAAATGTGAAATTGTCTCACCAAAACCCAAACAGAGACAACAAACATGGGGGGAGAGGCACATATTTGGTCTCTTTTTTTGCAATAAATCCAAGGTGTTGATTTTTTKGAGTACCACTTCCCAACAAAAGGCTTGAATTTTAGGGAGTACAGGGCTACCCCACACCTCCTTTGAAGGAAAGTTCCCTACAAGGTTAGAGGTCTAAAGCAAAATGTTATAGAAAGAAGAGCAATTGAATTAACCAGAAGGGGAAGGTTTCCAAATTCTGCTATCTCTACAGGACTGATCAAGAAAGASTTCCCCTAAYTGAGTGATCAAATCATCAACCATCCCCATTTCAGAATCCCTTAGACCTCTTCTCAAGCCTAAATCCTAGGAGTTATCAAAAAACACTGAAGAGATCACTTTTCTTTTGTTTTTAGACAAGGAGTAAATAGAAGGAAATCTATCTCTAAGGGAGTTTTCACCAACCCAAACATCTTCCCAAAACAAGACTTTATTTCCAGCGCAGACATCATATTTGAAATAAGGAAGCATAAGAGGCAAAATACCTTGAATAGCTTTCCAAGGAGAATACTGAGAAGCCCTAGGGTCGAGTCC